TTATACAACAAAAGCGCACTGGTGTTTTGCCCAAGAACACAATAGAATGTCCCAGCCAGTTTCAAAGCTTGACCTCTCAACTCAGAGTCTGCCAGCCCTCAGACCACCAGGGCCTTATAAGCTGTTTCAAAATTTAGGTTACAATTAATTATTTTTACTTTTTCATTCTCAGGATCCTTACATCAACACTCCTCACTGCCTACAATTATTTCTTATAATTGTAATTTTCTAGATCAAACAATAAGCTCCAGATAATGTATTCATTTTTCCTCATCTCCTTTTCTACCTGAAAATTTATTGACATTGTAACGAGAAACCCTTCTTTTCTTTCTCTATAGCTACTATAAGTGAAATGGTGAAGGTCCACTGTATAAAATTTAGAGCAATGATGTTCCAATAAACAGAAAACAGAGAGTTGAAATATTTGATATAACTAATAATACTTTCATTTAAGGGTGGAAAGGAACACGGTGTGCCAATCATTGTATCAGAGATACACGAAGGTCTCCCTGTAGACAGATCAGGGGGCTTATATGTAGGTGATGCCATACTTGCAGTGAATGGTATTGATCTTCAGGAAGCTAAGCATAGTGAGGCGGTAAAGGTGCTCTCCACTGTTCATGGTGAGATAACACTGGAGGTTCTCTATGTGGCTCCAGATGATTCCAGTGATGACGAGGATACCTGGGAGGAGGACGAAGGACAAAGGTTAGCTAAATAGGACCTTAAGAGGACAGGCCCCGTTTTTTTGGAGGCTGGATAGCGCTATCCACTGGATGATTCTCTGTCCAATGGATAGCGCGGTGGGTTTTGCTAACACTCATCCGCTAGATTGCGATTTATCCGTCGGATGGCATTAACTAGTAGGGACTTTAAGCAAACCACGACGGCGACGGCAACGAGAACGTGGATAAACAATAGATCTAATTGGCAGAACAATACCTCTGCACGTGCGTTTTAAAACTTTGTACATTTCCTAGCCGTCCTTTGCAAAACAACAACGTGAAATCACCAAAATTTGCGTCGTCTGCGAAGCGAAACCATGGCGGCAAATTATTTTAATTTACATTTGGAACTCAACGCTACTTTTGTGCGTTATGTTGAGTTCGAGGTCTGGCGCTCTATGAGACGGTAAACACATGCTGCCAATTTCGAAATTCTAACTAAGTGAAGAAACTCATTTTTTAATCGACGACTTCCATGGCGTTGCCGTCTTGACTGCTTAAAGTCCCTAGTGCCTTTTTAACAACTGCTCCAGGACCGTAACTCTGAGGAAAACTTCGAACTAAAAAAACCTTTCACTGAAGACTCTTATTAAGAGTTTAAATGGCTGAATGCGTTTACAGTTAAACGGCGCCAAAGCTCAATTTCAGCCCAGCATAGGGGCAGCGTTGAGTTCCAGAGAGAAACGTGGTTAGTTCGCCTTCAGTGTACTGGTTTTCAGACCACGCAAATTTTTTAAAACGCACGATTTGTTTTAACGCACGGTTTGAAGCATTAGAGAGATTTAGCACCGCGTTTTCGTGAAACGTGAACGGCAAGTTGACCACGTGATCTTTGTTTTCCCCGCCATTTTTTCACTTTTGCCAGTTGCGCTTCGCCGTTTCTACGTGAAAGTAACCTGTTTCGCGTTTGCCGTGTACGTAAGATTTTCTTCACTTTCCTCTCACAGAGTAGAAGTTAATTGCCGGAAAAAGGGCAGCAAAACTATTCCTTGTAAGTCCTAGAAGATCGCCTTCAAATCTACCATGACGCGAGCTCACGTGAAGCTAAGTAGCAAGGTTTACGCTATTGTACGTGAAACGTGAAAGGGCAAGCTGACGTTTGCCGTTTCACGTAAACGCAGTGCTAAATCTCTCTGTCGTGTTTACTAATTCTTTTCCTTCGCCTCGTTCTCGTTGCCGTTGCTGTCGTGGTTAGCATAAGGTCCTTATTAATTCAGAAATGTACAATGATTGAATTGTGAAATGCGGAAAAGAAAACATATGTGACTATTAAACCAAAATGTTATTTCAATTTAGGTACAGCATGCTGGGAAGAGTTGAGGACCCAGCAAGTGAATTATCTAATGGCGATGTATACATGACAAACTCCAAAAGAGATTCCACTAAAACCCAAACTACCGAGCAGCGGAGGTAAGGCAGTCTGTTGTGACGTCCATCTCCTTGCTTTTGTAATTTATGACTTTGGGAATTCCTGGTGAGGGCTGGGCTCGGAAGGATCAAAAACCGCACCCGAAAAAACTGCCAAAAACAAGCTTAGTTTGGGGTCATTTTGACACCTACAGGTGTACGTGCATTTAGAGAAGGCGTTTCGATTGTTTGCTATGAAACCGAGACTAAGGTAGTAGTACGCGGGAAGAACTGAAGTGATTAATTTGTAATTGGCTGTCGTTTTGTTTACAAGTTGGTGCGTACTTTTGCAAGTAAAATACTGAGCATAGTTTATTTCCACTCTCAGTTGAACTTGTTTACTATAGGCCTCATCAGTGCAGTGCTTATTTAAGGGTGAAGGTAAAGCCATATAGCCACCCCAAATGATTCTACATTTGTGGTATCATCTAAGCCATTCGAGAGGGCTCAAACTAGTAACTAGTGAGCGTCGCACCCTAATCTGACACTTCTTTAAATTCTGGTCGTTTCCAGTCCCTCTTCATCGCCTCGTTCAGCACCATACCTTCCGTCGCATCCCGGGGCGGCGCAACCAGTCAGTGCTTCTCCTGAACCAGCCAAGAAATATCGCAACCCGGCTACAATACCAGGGACGTTTTCAACCACAGTAGACAGCAGAGGAAACAATTCCGAGTCATCATCGAGATCTAGTTCACAGTCGTCGTTATCTTTAGCGTCAACGCTTTCGCCGCATCAAACTGGCGGATTAAATGTCGGGAGACTGGAACCTTTGATACAAACACCTTCTGAAGGGGAAGATACAGGCTCAGAGCTGTTTTCCCCGTCGACGTAGCAAACTGGATAGCTGTGGAATCTATTGTGTCTGGGATGTGAGAGATTTATTAATACGAATAAGCAGGTCCCTGAAGCAGTCAAAGGAATCTTCAAGTGTTACACAATAAAATCTCCTGGATACGTGATTTTCAATGCAGTTTTTAGTCAGAACGTCGTGCTAGGATGGATGTAGAGGATGAGGCCTTAAAATGAACGCTAATCATAGGAAAACATTAGTAAAGAAAGGTCACTCCTCAGTGAAACACAGCAATGTGCTCTAAATTCTTCTTCACCAAATTTGGATTGTTTCCTGTCCAATTTTTTTTTCTTGTCCCAATTCATAAACAAGAAACTGTGTCCATTTGTCCATACGAGGGTTTTTTTGCTCCCTTTTTTCTGTTATGGCTACTTAATCAGATTTCTTCTGAAATTCTTCGTAAGCCTCTGAAGCTCAAACGATGGCTCGGAAAGAGGCTAATCGAAAGCCTCTACTGAGAGCCTTTTTGATTACCAATACCAGGCTGCGTTAGACAAGTTATTGCATTTTACAAATGTCTACTAAGATAATAATTTGAAGCATTATCTGACGTGTCAGTCAAACTTGTCTCAAAAGCCCAACATTTTTTATTTAGCCTGGTGGTCCCAGTAATTCGATTGAAAAGATCACTACGTAATTGTTCAGCGCATCTTCTTAACGCAAACTCACTAAAAATGGCTCCTCATTCTCTTCCTTAATGCGAGGCAATTCTCTTGCCGTTGATAAATTAGGTGCAAGACTAGTTTTGCGCCGCAAACTGAAGCAACGTTTTGTTAATTCAGCTTTGGAGGATTTAGATTTTCGATTCAACGTCACCTTCTGATCTGCCCAAGGGAGCTAACATAAGTAAAGTTACAAATAATAGATATTGTATGAATTGTATAGAGTGAAGTTTAATTCGTATAAAAGAGAAAAAGTCGAATTTTGGGGGATTTTTAGGTTTTTTGCCATTGATACGAAAGGTATCTACTAGTAAAGTATTCCAAGGAATAGATTTCGTTATCTCTTGCTTACTTCAATGTGGGATTTTTTAATTGTTTACAGACTTGGACTAAATACATTTGTAAACAGCGTAATTTGATCTCCCTTTCTCATTTTCTCTCAAGTTTCACTTCTCATTCTTTTCTCCACACATTTGCGCGATTCCACTCCTCGACGTAGTGAACTTGGGGGCATGTGTAATTCCCCGTGAAGACCCATTTTCGGGAATGGTGTCAGCGTCTCTTGGACTTCTTGTGCGAATGCACTCACGGACCACACATAAGGGGTCAGCATGGGGCCGTTTTGTTTTTTGCCTCGTTGGCTAGTGGTAAAAGATGTGCAATAACAGCAGATAGAGTCTAGTGACGGTAGATGATGTTTAGAGGTAGTGAATTATGTGTGGTGTTGGTAAGAGATTTTTAGAGAGGGTAAATCTGGTGTAGACGATGAGTTATCTATGTCTGAGAGTCTTTCGAATGACGAGCGAAATCGAGGAGAGAGTCGCATATGTCACGGAACGCTTTTGTGGGGTAAATATTACTGCGGCAAAGAAAGAATTAACTAGTTGCCTAGGAAGGAGATGAAGGACCCGTGAAGGAACGCAAAAAGAGTGGAAATGACAATCACGCAACCTCATACGACTGAGTAAGACGTGATTTGGTTTAGGGTGTCACTTGATATTCATTTGTTTTATTATAGACCTAACTTGAGCTCGTGATCCTTCCGTGATAAGAACGCGTGCAAGATGACAATACACTTTCGTTTTCGTTTGCACCACAACCTGTTTAACTTGCATAATAAGGGAATACTTTTCCAATGTCTAGAGGTCTAGCATTTGCGGATGTTTTGAGGATGAAGGTGCATTAATTTACTGCAGCCGATTTCTGGCATCCGCACAATATTGCATCACTTGCGAAATTATTTCAAATGATTTATTTTTTCGTTTACATTGCACGTCCACTCATTACATTTAAAAGACGAGTCTCGGCAGCTCTTGAGCCGTGTTCTAACCGGAACTGAGGAGCTTGATTCGAGCTGCTAAACAATAATCCAAAGCGATATTTGTAGTATGCCTTCTCGTCGTAGCTGTTGTTGATATTTATCTCTCCATCACAGTCGAGTGAAAACGATTCGTATAGTTTGATTTAAGAACTAAGTTTACCACTACCCCTGTAGCAATAATTTTGTCACGGGCATTACTCTGCTTTCGACAACAAGCAGCAAACCTCATGTCCATAGGCAGACAAAAATTGATTCATTTCCGACTATCGTAGGCCTTGTTCCAATATAGCGTGGTCCTTGCTGGTGGAAAGTTAAGTTGTTCGCTTGTTCGATCCGCAATTGCTTCTATTTTGATCTTGGTCCCTTTACAACATTCCTGTTCTTTTCAGTGTTCCGTAGTTTCTCTGTAACCTTTCGTTCATGTCCTCCCGGATTTGGTCGGTTCGTGTTTAAATTTGCTTCGCGTTTGGTCCTCCCTTTTCGCGAAGTACTCATAGCATTCGCTACCGGATCGAAATTATAATGGTCGTACTCGTCAAAATATTCCATAGCTTCAAGTCAAGATCAGAGATTCTACTGAGACCTCAGCTAGAAAGGGCGCTGGTTTAATACAGTTGAAGATCAGCTTTTGGAAATGACGTCGCTCCTTGTTGTTTACATTATAACCTACGATGATGAAATTTCCATAAATGAATCGCAGATGCGATTTGTGATTGGTTGGAATTAACAAAAGAGGTGAACTTGAGCGAGCACAGCTGACAAAATAAAATGAAGAAAATTTTATGATGGACAACAACTATTCACCGAAGTGGACTGAGGTGATTAGTTGTTTTACTACATACTAAAACAGTGAAACAATAGAGCTTAAAAATATTATTATAACTTATTTATTCGCGCGCTAATACTAGAAAATGAATAAAAATTGATGCAAATTAAATAAAGTAATTTTACTAATAAAAGAAATGAAATGAAATGAAAAGAAAGAAATCGAGAAAATGAAAAAATTATAACATGGCTATTGATAGTCTTGATAATTTTTGGATAATGTCCTTTTGAAAATAAAATAGAAGTCCAAATAAGGTTTTTATGAGTTGTCCAGACTGTTAAAAATCCAAGCTTTTGCCGATCCACAGGCTAACCGGGGATGAAAAGTATTTCGGTTACCTTTTATTCGGAGCCTTTTGATCTGAAACCCTATGGAGCTTCTTACACCCACGGTAATAAAAAGAAATATGAGGTCACTTCGAGAATTGTGGCCTACTGCTAATTCGGAGCCTAAATATATCATGACCTTTTTTTTTGCATAGAAAAAACCAGGAAAGATTTATTACTCGACGTTTCGGGGTCATCGTGACTCCATTATTTTTTTTTTGCAATCCGTTATATTTGACAATTATTCGCCGAAGGCGAGGTGAATATCGCCGAATAATCCCCGAGACGAAGTCGAGGGGATTATTCGACAATATTCACCGAACCTGAGGCGAATAATTGTTTTAGTATAATTTCAGAGCTGAACAACAGAGAAATTTCTAAAATCATAACATTTTAGTAACATTTATTAACATTTTATTTCAACATTTTATATAAACCGCGTGGACGGGTATATATAGTGTCTTATAAGGAACCGCTCGACCAATCAGATTGAAATATGTGTTAGTGCCCTTAGCTTCTTGCTGACTAGAATGTGAATAGCCCCGCACTGCTTAGATGTGTTCCTTAAGGGAATAAATTGAACAGTGGGTCGTGAGGTGCTCCTGCGTTGCCCTGATTGCCAGCACGCAGCCGATTCAGGATCGAGTTGTCTGCCGACCGTTTAAACTCCGGCCGAGGCCACTGCATTCAGGCAAGGAAGTCACTTTATGCTGCTTTCCGTCAAGCACATGCGAGGAACGGAGAACCGGGGAAGAATCTCCAGAGGAGCTAAGAACCAGCCTTAGGTGAATAAGTCAAACATTTCTAATCCTTTCTATTAACATTATTATAGTATACGTTTCTGCAGTGTATACTAATTGACATTATTCGACTTCGTTCAATCTTGCGATCAAGTTTGGCATTACCAACAATAACTCAAGAGAACAGGTCCCCGTAATATCCAGGGTTACGTTACAGGACACTAAAAACTGACGCAAGTTGACTCCCACGGGTTCTGTAAAGTCGAGAGTTCCTCAGGATTGTGATCTGTAAGACGCTTTTGGTTTTGTTGGTCTATTGTTAGACTAACGCATAAATTCTCAACGAAGAAAAAACTAATGGGACGATACTCTTTCCTGGCACTTGGTAATCAATTTGACTGATAAATTTTCTAATTTCTTTCAGGTGGTTATCCATGTTCCGGAAAAACAGAAAATAGAATATAATTAATTTAAGGATTAGTTTTGTAATCCTTTCACCTATACTATTGCCGCAAAATAAGCAACTTGATATTTTTTTTTTCACCCAGCTGCTACTGTCTGTTTTGATTATTTAGCCTTTTTTCCTCTTGGAATTTTTTATGGAGATGTTTAAAAAGATTAGATTTATTATGGAATATTTGAAGACCTCAATTCAAGATTTTATAACGTTGTTTTCTCTGTTGTGCCGTCCTCATCATTCATGACGTCCACTGGTAAGATAAATATTTATATCATCAATACGATTCGACGGGGGTATGTTTATCAAAAAAGGAGTGCTGTGTATTTTTTCTTTATACACTCTAGGTGGGGTTAGCGCAAAAAATTAATTTGGGAATGTAGACTGTTGTTAAAGCAACAGCTATTTTAACATATTGAGAAAAACATCCTTTTCAGCTAAATATTTCAAGAACTAACCGGAATAGAGTTTGTGGAGTATCTTATGGGCGATTCACTTTCACAGACCACTTTTTATAATGTTCCCCTTCTTCCGTCAAGTTCTGTTTCCGTTGACTGAAAACACCAGTTTTAAGCCGTTAACTTTTGACATAATTCCGTTTGATTAAAATCCTTGTTTCACAGTTCATTTAATTTACACTGAAATCACTCGATATCAAGGGTTAATTAACACCCGATCACTGCATTGAAGTTACTGCGTTTGACTTAGGAGACCGCATGCTTTTCATGTCATTTTTCAGTCTCGCGAGTTTTTTATCTCGCAATCTTTTCCCCACCGTGATTTAAATCATTTCTTGTTTTCTACTCCATGAAATAGAAATAGTGTGACTGACCCTTTATTTCAATCGTTATTCTATGAAAATCCCTACAACTCAGACTTGTCCACGACGAATCGAATTCATATAGACCTCTTCATTTTATTCTCTATTTCTGTCATTTTGGTTTTGCTTTATTTTTGGCTACGTACTTTTTTCGACTCTCCCCTAGACTGAATCAGAGCTGGTTTGGCCAGAAACTAAGCATGCGCAATATCTTGACGTTGATTGAAAAAAATCGATAAAGCGTCTTTAATTAGGAGGAGCGAATAATGTCGATGAAAGAACGTATATTCCTCAAGTCTATGCCGAGTGAAGGCGCACTGGTAAAGAAAGGGTGAGTTGTTATATTGGGTGGGGCGTTCTTACCGCAAAAAGGGGCGAAATGGTGGGGCGAATTTGAAATGTAGCGAGACATGTTGCAGTTAGAAATATTAGGACTCCATTTGGCTGTATGGGATGGATTTTTATCCCACGTGGTCGCTTCAGAATTTCAACAAGTTTCCCTGACAGATTTCTGGTTCGCCCAACAAAAAAAATGACCTTGCACAGACTGGAACCCAGACTTTACGATCTGGCATCCAGCGAGCTAAGCTCCAGGCTCCATCTCATGCATCATTGTGAAAGGGGGCATGGAGAGATTGACGCTCGTCAAACCATTGACAATCTCTTTTGTATACCTCTGCAATCAGCGATGTTGGAAGGTTGTGCAGAGAAGACAGAATGATGGCTTCGTCGTCGAGTGAATAAAAATAGATATAAAGTACAAGACACAGGAAATGCTTTGTTTAACAGAGATGCCTGAGAGCAGACGTCTAAGGCCTGTTGTACTGAAGTTGTCTGTTTTTTTCTTTGTTAAATCCAAACTCAGTCACGGAAATTAAATGTGTCCAAACACTGTCTGTTGTTTGACTTATGAGCGGAAATGGTCCCGTTGACAACCAGAATGAACAAAACTGAATGAATTTTGTATGCACAAGAGCGAGGCTCGACAAACACGAAAAAGATTCTCACGAGAGAGTTTACGTTCAGGTCTCTGATTCACCGATTGTTTTTTCAACGCGAGAGAACTTTTTTTTTCTCTCCAAAATGCATCTTACGAAAGTTCTTGATAAGAAACTTCCTGGGAATATGCCGCCTTCACACAGAAGATAAAGTCCTCCATTTTTTTGGCTAAACCGAACCTAGTGTATTCTTAGTGTGCATCAATAATGAATATAGCATAGTCTTAAGCTTCTTTAGAACACTGTTTCCAAACGCGTAAATGTTCATTATAGTACTGTTAGGGAACTGATGTGTCAAGCCGGTGATTATTGTTCAATATCAGATGTGCTTTTGTTTGATGTGCTGTCGGCATTACCGTAACTCGCCAGCTTGCTAAGGAGGCGAGAAAATTCTGGAAATAAGGCACAAAACTTATTTCAAACTCTAAACAAAAAGTATTACAAAACCCGTTTGTTGAATCACGACCTTCTTTCAGGACTACTTTATGCGTAAATATAAATTTAAAGCTCTTGATTTTTAGAGAACTATAATTTGATATATTTTAAAGTTTCTCTTCACAAAGCATGTTCCATTTACTAAGCTTTTGCGCGATAATCTCGCAACTTCTCTGAAGAAATAAATTAAAAGCAAAATAAACAAGAAGCGCGGTTTATTCTTTTTTTATAATTATCGCTCAAATTTCGGACGAATTGCAATCAATTAGAATATAGTTGGCATCAAGAAAAAAAAATTGGTCATTCAAACTTTACCTCTCTGGTATTGTGTAAGGATGCAGTTCGAAAATGACTTACGTAATGTATGCAACTTTTGTAACGACCGTTCATGGCCTTAAAGACGTTGGGGACATGACCTGTTTGTGTACAGAGAGAGAACATAGAGTGAAATTTGTGTTTTGTTTGTGAGTTTACACTGCAGCGTTGGAAAAACGAACTTTTCTTTCATGACTTTAAAGTGATGCAAATTAGTGCAGAACAGAAATTTTTTTTCTTCTGACCGGCTCTCGTGCTCGCTTTGTCCAACCCGGCTCTGTTTGTATTGTAATAAAATGTATTTCCAATAAAAACGGCGCTAAAAGAGAAACGAATAGCGGGAATTGTACAAAGTGAAACTGCTAATCTTTTGTTTCTTCGGCATTTTTTTGAAGTCCTTTTATATGACAACCTGGCTTTACAAAAGCGATATCATGTCGGCTTAAAGCACTTGTCGGTCTTTTGAGAAGCAAGCAGAACTGGCAGGTTGCAGAATAGGTTCACTGAGTAATCCGCAAATTCTTCCCACGACGTGAAAGAAAATTTAGTCTTCATTTATTTCTGACCCTTCGAAATTTTGTCAGGCGATTTGACAAATCGGTAAATAGAGACCAACTCTCAAACACAGAACAGTTTGTTAATGCTATAACAAGTCGGAAGATGTGATCGGCAGATTTGTAATATATATTTAGAGATGAGAACCTCGCCGCAAAAACTTCCAAAAAAACACTCGAGTTACTCAAAGAAAAGTGCTATTTGTGGCCTTGATGCGAGTCTAATCACACAAACGGGTCGTATTAACGCTTTCTCTCTTGCCTTCGATGTTTGGTTTTCTTTGACAAAAGTTGTTAATAGCGCGCGCTCTGAGATGAAAAATGCTAATTTCCAAACATATTAAACTTGTACCGATTTATGTTCACAGTGCGATTCAGAGATTTGTAAACAGAGCACACAATGAGTTCAGTTTTACAGAAGAAGTCTATAAAAATATCAATCACGCCTCGCAAAAGGGTATTTGTTTGTTTACATAAGCACAGTAGGGCTCTCGTTTCCCTGTATTGAAATTAACTTGTCTTAAAAGACAAAGAATGTATCGCCAATAAAACCAGCAATAACAAAACAGTTAGTTTATTCAAAGAGCTTTAATTACTTTGTGTGGGAGGATTTATGGACTATATCAAGCAATATTGTATCTTTTGAGCTACAGGTAATTAACACGTGTATGTAGGGGCCTGTGTTTAGTGCTCTACTATCGGAGAACTGCAGAGCCCAAATTTAATTGTTCAAACGTAACAATTCGCGAGTGCGCACTGAAGGCGGACGTTGGATTTAACCGCTTAATGAGAGGAGGTGTTGGACAGTTCCGACAGTTTGCAAGAGCGTTACGCACAAGATGAACACAAGTGATTCAAGTTGCTCCACGGACACCTCAAAGACTTCAGAGAAAATTAAGAGGCCATTAAACGCCTTTATCCTCTGGTCCAAGAAAAGGAGGAGGGTCATCGCTAACGAAAATCCACAGATGCACAACTTTGACATCAGTAGAAAACTAGGCTTGGAATGGCAAAAACTGTCCGAGGACGAGAAAGCGAATTACTTTGAAGAAGCCAAGCGTTTGAAAGAGGAGCATAAACAACAATATCCTGATTACAAATACCAACCAAGAAAACGTGATAAAACAAACAAAAGAAACAAGCTTCTTCACGGGACGCCGTTTCAGTTCAGCTTCTATCCACACGACACCACAGGGTTCTTCGATAGCAGGTACCACTTCTCAGTGCCTGACTCGAGGCCATCGTTTCCTGCAGAACCCTTGCTACCTCACGGAGAACACGCTGCGGCGAGCAGCGAGGATCATATAACACACAGCACTCACGCAAAACCAACACACTCGGATCACAGTACCCACAGTGTCATTTACCAGAGCTTCCGGCCTCAGTCTTGCGATGGATTTGTACCTTACAGGAGTTTGGAGCCTCCATACATGCCTCTGCGGCCCAATTTTGACTTCTCACATCTCAACTGGTACGGTTCGTCTTCGGCGTCCAGCCGCATAGCCCCTGTACCGTACTGTAGTCGAATGTACCCGTGGCACGCGGCGCGTCAAACCGATTTCCACTCGTGAGAACGGCGCGCCACGAACTCTTGAAACCTAGCGAGTTTACCAAAGAAAGAAACATTTGAAGGTATAGTAGAGATATAGAGACATTATTTGGCAATTTAGGATGTAAAAATGCAAGCAGAGACATTATTAAATTTATTGCTGATCAAAACGACGTTGAAATTGTTAGTTTAATTGGTGAAGACACTTCTAAAGTACCTCATGATTACTTCAATTTCACTTTGCGGGCATCCCATCGTCTTAAGTAGACGCAAAAACCAAATGCAGAAGCTAATAGCAAACGGAAGTGGCTTTTCGCTTATTGTCATTGTTTCTTTTAACTATTTTGTAAAGTACAGTAACTTAAATCCAACGCGGTACTTTACATTTTGTTAAAAGCTGTTAGCAAATATACCGACGTGTACAGTTTAGTTCATCTACTCGTTGTCCCGTATTTCAATGTTTTTGTAGAAACTCATACTTCCACTTAAATTTATGGACGTTGAATCATTGTACGAAGTATTATTATAAAAATCAAAGTTTTCGATTACACTAAATCGCTTAGTTAATGAAAAGTCAATTTTTACTCATTTAAGAACGTTATAAGGCTGTAAATTGACTAGATGGCAGTCAATTTTTTAACTAGCCGCTAACAAACGGAAAAAAGTAACTGGCGCTTTGTCTTGACTGACCCACTCATCTGAGCATCAAGTATTCTCCTCTCTGCGAGCTTAACTGAGTAAATTTTGAGTGAAGAAAGCGGTATTTTGTAGAACCCAAGTGCTAATACACGTGGCAAGTACATAGAATAATACTTCAGTAATTGGACAGGGTGCAAAAGTTGCGCAAATGTTCAGCCCATTTATGTGTGAGCCGGCGGCTTTGAAGAAATTACAGGAAAACGTATTTCACTTTTATTCAGTAATTCTCAACACCTAATCCTTTATTTCACCTTTCGATAAACGCATAAAACCAGTCGGCATACGGAAGATGTAAAAGTTTCATTAAATCGTTTCACGGCTACATATAGAGTCAACAAACTACAAACACATCCTGACATGCTAAATAAAACACGATGCGAGGCTGAAGTTCTGTTGCTAGCAGTAAGCTCTGTGATAAAGAGCACTGTCTCGGGCTTTATAGAGATATAAAAGGCTTTCTCTAAGCTGTTGGTGTACTCAGAAACTTGGACAATAATCTCCAATGTAGGTTAAAGTATGAGCCACGGGAGAAAGAAGGAAAAATTCTATAGCAACCTTTAATCGACACAAGCTACGAGTTTATTTAATTTTTATTAGAAACCTACAGTACTGATTTTTTTGTGGAATCTGACTTATGCATAAATGCTCGAAATCTACCTAGTTTCTCTAAATTAGAGAACGTTTTCATGTAAGGATTAGCTTTTAAATTCAGATTATTATATCGAAACATATAATGTATGTCTTAAAGGTAAAATAAAGCAATTGTTCAGCGCTCCTCACATTGATCTCAATTCATTACCCATTATGGAAAATCAAACTGAAACTTGTTAAGTTAGTAATTCAGAGGCGTTTTTCGATTTCCAAGTAAAAATTTCTGCATATCCACCAATAATTTAGGTTCTTCGTATGAGGTAATTAAACAATTAGGAAAATGCGCCTGGTCGCTGAAATGAGGGATTACAAAAAAACAAACTTACACAGTTAAAAATATTAAAATAAATCACCGATTTGGAATTTTTCGCTGTACTAAATAATCATTAGTGTTTAAAATATATTTTATTGAAATTCCGTAACTTCTCTCGCCTATAGTTCAAAGACCCAGTCTGCTTTGGTGCACGCGCTTCAAAATCAGTGGTGTTCGTGGCTCTTCTACATGACTCCGTATTTTGATGGAGTTAAAGAAAAAAGTATCAGTGGAGAGTAAAGTAAAGGAAATTAGTGAATTCCTCAATGTAAATCAAAACGCCTCCTAAATAGTGGAAATCACTTTGAAGACCAATTTGTGTTCAGAAGTTATTTATTTTCACTCAAGCCCATATTCCTGATGCTCTTTTAATATGTAGAAAAGCAGTTTACATGATACAACTCGTTAATTGTGTGAGTTACTTAAACGCTGCGCTACACGTCGAAATTACGTAACAACTTTGTCTCTTTTTTCTTTTTCCACACATACACAGCCATATTTATGTTGCCTTTCATTTTTGGAAAAACGTCCCAAAAATATATATACTTAGGTACTTATCCTTGCTTTTTAGTGGAACACTTAGTTCGTTAGTCTAGTGGTCACGGAAATATCTAGAAATTACCGTTCATGTTTTTTAAGGAATTACCTTGGATTAATTTTTCGTGTTTGATTCCATTTAGGCCTTTTGGTTTATTCTAAAACCTGGTCCACAGTATGGTATGATTTTCTGAATACCTGTTAAACTCTTCACGCCTTTTCCGTAGCAAAACAGAATGCGCAATATCATGAAACAGAACACAGATCTTTTATTAAAATAAAACAGAATGGAGTGTCTATTTTGTTGTCTGTTAGCAGCGTTTTCTATTTAGCTGAACTAAAATGTTTAGTAATTAAGTCATTTTTTCGAACTGGTAAAACACTATTCTCTGTATATTGCGACACCTAAACTGACCTATGCTAGCGTTTGACGAGGTCCGCGGAGGTTGTCTCACCGGTCCAGCTGTGGGTCGGCTGTTTAAACTTTTAATTTAATTTTTAATAAAGAGTTTGGAATTGAAAGTCAAGGAGTGCGGGAACATAATAATGTCAACGTCTTCGCGAGGCATATGTTGATTTTGAAGGTGAGGGCGAATGGTTTTTCCATAAAAAAGACGTTGAATCAACTGCGAGAGAAGCTCGTGGGAGGTGTATAGACGTGATTGCAGAAAAGTGTTTGTAAATAATTGCTTTCGGCAGATGTTGAAGAGTGTAAAGCCAGCTAGAAAGAACAAACCGGGGAAGAAGCCGGATTACTTTTGCCGCATTAAATGTAAACATTTATTGCGTATGATTTGGGAGAGGAATAACTCATTTTTGAAAGGGGATTTTGCGGTGCTTGTTTTAAACTAATTTTTTTCTCCTCAGGAATAAAAAATATCGTATACTTCATAAAATTTGAGTAGTGTGCAATTATGATGTTTCGATTTTCTTATTTAGTTTCGTATGCATATAGAGAGCGATCCTTTTCACTCGTTTGTCTTTCTAACCCTTGCGTTTTCATTTTCATCATGAGTATTTTTTGAAACTCTAGATTTCCCAGCAAAACAGTAAAGCTACGAAAATAGGAGCTTCACCATTAGCTGTCCATAGCCTACGCATATGCTAACTGAGCATGTGGTTTGATCACTTCTAATGCATAAAATTAATTTAGAAATATCTTGTATCTGTGTGAAAAATGAATCTGGTTTCCATGTTATTGAGTTCGACTCCTTCAAGATTTCTTCATCCCCTTTCATTCTGCATCAATCCACCCTCCGAACATATACACTTATGAAATTCTTATTTTGTGTTCCTTACTTCTGCCGCAAATGAACATTTTGCCTCGAAGTTTCTAGTCTAAAAATACTGTCCCTCCCGTGAAATGAAGCGATAGCTTATCAAGCAAAACGGAGTATTGTATCTTTAATTTTCTTAATCCTAGAAATGAATATTAGTTTTTTCTTGATTGCGAAAAAGGGCGATTCGATCTGCACTTTCAATCGTATTGTCTACTCGATCGATTTAGGGAGCCACGCTCTGCCCAAATAAAAACTTGCCAAAGAATTGAACCTCAATCATATTCAGGAGCAGCGATTTACAGCCCTAATTTCCTTTCATAACATGCCCAGCCGATAGTGCAGCTTTATCTCAAGTGGTCTTACTCTTTGAGAGCCCTTTTTTGTTACGATAAACTGTACAAACGCTAGAGAAGGGGAAATTAGACAACCTTGTCATTTCCACCCAGGAACTAGCTCATGTCTTTTATAAACAATTCGAATGGCCTTCCCCCCAATTCATAGTGTTTTTCTAGGTGATGAATGCCTGCGGGATGTTTATTTTGTTATCTTGATTCTGGAAATTAATTTTGGACATATTGCACTCTCGGAGTGTGCCAATGCTGGTATAGATTATTTATACAACGAGTTAGTTTGAAAAAAAAACAGCTTTCGGTAGAAAACATTCTGTCTGGTAATTTCCAAAATCTCGAACTTGAAAAGCATGCCACCATTCCTTTTACTAAACGATATTGGGGGCCACAAGACTGAGCCAAGAGTATATAATCTTTATCAGTTCATTTGCGGGGTTTACTCCTGATTTCTGTGGTTGATCAGTTTAAACTTGTGTTTCGTTTTAACTAGCTTTTTTTCCCTTTTTAATTATGGAGTAATATGCTGAAGGACTCAGAAAATAAAAATTGTTATTATGAGCTGGTTTACATTTCGCGTGGAGACGTTGACAAACATTGCCTCCAAATAGGCCAAAAATACAGACCACCAGTTTATTAAACGTTTCGGAATATTCCTAAATAAATATCTGGGGATTGGCTAACCTGCTTTGTAATAAATACGTTTCCTGTACGGCTGATATCAGCAAGGTTTTTTTCTTGTGGTATAATTAGTCCCCCTTAAATATTGAAATACGAAAGCACGTTCGGAATATTTACTTATAGGAGTTTGTAAACCTTGGCATGAAGACCACGGCCTTAGCAATATATAAAGTGAACACGAACAACGTATCTAGCTCCTATTGCAATATTTATAATGTTTTATCTCCTAATCACTTAAAGGTTATTGGCAGATTGATTACCATATCTTAAAGTTTTCGTTTCGCTATAGTAGTCGACATTTGTCCCAGAATTATAGCATAGTAACCTTACATGGAGCTCGACTATAGCTGTCTATTAAAGTCTTACTGCAAAATATCTCCTGATGCTGGGGAAATAAAAGCACCCATTATCGATTATAATAACAACGCTGCTGCTTTGTCTTAATAGTTTATTTCCCCACGAAAGCCCAAAGGTAAATAAGTGGTTGTGTGGACACGAGTGTCGGAAATATCATGGTTGATACGAACGCTTTAATTCTTGAGTAAGTGAAATGTTGGGCAATACCGACACTATTTTAGCAAGCAATATTACACTTTTGAAGTCTTCAAGGCAATAAATATGAGTATCCATTGCCTTACTGAAGGTGAAAAAATTTTATTGATAAGGGTGCCGAAGTTATTTCATTGAAGATCGAACACAAAGTAACAGAAAGAATACAACCGTCTCGCCAGTGCAAATGATATGTCAATAGAAGGCGCTTTCGCCGACAAAAAAGAAGGCAATGTCGGAAATAGTGCTTTAGAATAGAAATTGAGCAATTGATAGCATATTCGTGGCTTCGGAAATCGTCTAAAATTGGTTCATCTGATTCTACACGAAGGTGTGCGATTGGAGAACGAATTCAAAGCGAATGAGTGTCGGAGGCGATTCTGTACTATCAAGGTGAGTAAACTGACCATGACATACAGCTGCCTCTAAAGTAAATACAATATTCTCATTGACCTATAACTGAAGTTTCACGCAATTAAAAAGATTAGCACATAGAATATACAGCAGTAAGTATGATGGGCATAAGGCGATAATTAAGCCATTGAAATGGCTTCCCGTGGGATTGGATCCTCAAACGGGTTTCCACACAATATGGCCGGAAATTAAAATCTCCAACGAGTAAACGAACGCTGATTCAAATGTCAAAAAAACACTTGGCTCCTCTGTGATTTGCCTCCCTGTTAGACTATTTTTTGATGATAGGGGCACAGTTGACGAACGCAATTACTGACACTTGGCAGTTTACGAGAGAGTCGTTTTATTAACGGGTGGAGTGGGCGGAACCCAACCACCTGTTCCAGCGGTCCCTTTTGAGAAAATTGTTTCATTTGATTGGCGTTTAGGGTTCATATAGTTAAAAGAGTTATCTTCACCAAAGAACGGGCGCTTGCAGATATTCTAACATTATGAGGCTCAGAACAATTTAGACTGACGTTCCAAGTCCATTGCTTGTTAAGGATTGAACTTATAAACGTTTTATCATTGGCTGCAAAGAGACCTGTCGAACTGGCTCCATCTTTGAGTTATTAAATCAAAACTTTCTTTTAAAACCATGTGTGACTTCTTGAAAAAGAAAATGGAACTCTTTCAACGAGTGACATATATGCGGCATTGTATTTATGATTTCACTTTTTTGTATGTGTCGCTCAGCTTAGTTACGTTGTAACCCTATTTCGACTTGAAGAAAAGTAAATAAAAAAACAGTCAAGATTTTAGGGAAACGTCGCAGAAACGAGATAGTTCTCCATAGATCTGTCACGGGGCGAATTTTTTCAATTTTTAAGGGTTAACTGTAAACGTATTCACTTCCATTATACGTCTCCCACAGTTTGCGGCGCCTTCCAGCATAGAATCAATTTTTCGTTGGCAAGATCATCCTGTCATGTATATGTGCACTGGGATTTTTTGTCATGCGAGAGTAACCGTTGTTCATAAGTTTTGCACTCTAACATACATTCTAGTCTTCGAGAAAAATAAAATTTCAAACAACCTCAACATGCATGCATATCCAAAAGTGTGCAAGATTATCACCCGATGAATATTTGAAATTACCTCCAGACTTTTAAAGCTAGTGACGACTCGAATCCGTCAAATGACGAGGGTTTTTTTTTTTTTGAGAATGCACTATGAGATGAAACTTTCATTAGAGAAAACTCTAAGTGCACCGTTGTGATTTTTATATGTGCGCGTATATGTCCGACCAAAGTAGTTTTCTCCGTGTAAAGACCCGTTGAGACTCCGTGCAAAGCGCGTTAGCGCGCCCCTTACATCATGCACTTGGACCTAAGGCTCTCGTCACAGGGTCGAATACTATTTGCAGCTACAACGAAAGCAAATTTTTTCAGTGCCTTAAAAATAGCTTGACATTAAGAGTACAGGATGGAGAAAAAGAAGTATTCTGTCAAATAGCTCGATAGTCCCGACTCCCATGAAAAACGCTCTACTGCCGTCAAAAATCGGTACCAGAATAGGCTGTCACTAAGTGTACGTAAGCGACCGAGGCGCGCGGGAAAACAAAGAAAACCCTCACAGCTTCCTTATTCCATTCGAAATTTTACTCAACACGACTTAATAAGAGGCCTCATGAAAGCATTAATAACGCAATAATGAGAAACTTTTCGTTCGTATTTCCGAACAAAGACGAATGTAACGCGTAGTTATACCAAAGATCTAGACCTGCAAAGTCCGTTTCCTGTGGATTGGCTCTGGGGATAGGATTTTGTGAATATTATTCACTCGCACAGAGGTGACCCCTTTTCCAATAGTCAAAACTTGATGGTCAGTGTATTGTCGGCAATGGCGGGCAACAATTTTATGCATACAACTTGACTATAAAACTCAAAAATAGGCCAATTTCTAATTAGTTCAAAAAATGTCTCTTTACCACGAAATGCGATCCACCATCATTCAGGGCTTCTTTTCTTTAAAGAAAAAGTAAACAAACGAACATGCTAACTATTAAGCTACAGAACAAACAAAACCTTGAATATAGCAAATCCTGCCGAGCAAAACTGGGACATACTGAGAAACACATATAATCTGAAAGCTGTCAGCGGTATCACTTCCAAGTTTGAAATTGAACATGGCGGACGTTGATGTGATACACGAATAGCGGAATAGCTGCGCTTTCAATACCGTTTTTCTTCTCTTGGTTTATCAGTATGATTATCAGATATCTGTAAGAGTAGCCAGTGTTGGATAATGTCTGCCAATCCACGACCTCTTCGCCTTCCTCCCATGCCAAAAGTAGCCGACCTCCTTCGTGTATACGGGCTGTCCGCGAAGAAGCAACTTAGCCAAAATTTCATTCTTGATCTGAACATTACAGGTAATGCCTTCGATGTTAAATGTGTTTGGACATTTTTATTTTGCAGCTAAGCAAACAGGGAAAGAAAAAGGTCAAAATTGAGAGTAGTCACGTGGAGATGGAAACGAGGAGTGAAGTGGCGGAAGGGGTTGCGTGTGTGCGGGGGAGGGGGGAAGGGGGATTGGGTTCCACAGCATCTATTCGGCAAAGTTGAAATAAATAGCGTGGAATAGTATTCTTTCTGTTATTGGCTGAGCTTGAGGAAAAAATTTGTCTCCGTGGAACTTCTCGGGTGACTTTTAGAGTAACTGCCTGTTCATGTAAACTGTATTTGACAAGTAAGTTGAAATTGTAAATTGGCCACCATAAAGAGTTGAAAATCTGACGTTTCAAGCATCAGCCATTCATCTGATGAAGGGCTAACGCTCGAAATGTCAGCTTTTTAACTCCTTATAGTGGCCAATTTACAATTTCAACTTAGTTGATATTACCAAAATTAATTATGTTGGTACCCCCACCGATGCAGCACTACAGTTTCTTTAGAAACTTACCCCCTCTATTGTATTTGACAAGCTCTGAGATGACTGGAGTGAGATACCTGAATCTACTTCTGCATTACCTGCAATGAACATTTCCCCCCAAAGGTGACTAAAATCTCTATTGTCTCATGGTGATGATAAAATTATGTTCTGTTGAACCCTTTACACCCTAACAATCAGTAAACATATTCTCCATACCATTATCTATACATTTCCTAAGGTGCTGACATGGAGAATCTGTTTATCAATCAAGAGAAAATTCAGTGATTTAGGGGTTATACTGTGGGGAGAAATTAAACTCTCAGGGATTTGTATGTGTAATCAAATGGTGACGACTGAAATTAGGAAATAATTTCACGCGCATTTTGTCAAAAGTCTGATAATTTTCTGAGCCTTTAGGCGAGGGAAATTATCAGAATTTTGACAAAATGCAAGTGAAATTATTTCCTAATTTCACGAGAAAACCATTTGATTACCTTTTAATATTGTGGGTGACAACTTCATATATTCATTGTATCTGATTTATCACTTTCACGGGTTTATTACGAATCAACTTAACGGCCTGCTCCCAGTTGGCTTGTTAGCTCACTTGGTAGAGCGTTGCACTAGTATCGCAGAGGTCAGTGGTTCGAATCCTGTACAGGCCTGATTTTTTTCAGGTCTGATTTTCGCTTTTGCATAAATAGCGCTATCTACTGCGAGGATTGTGCATACGTACGTACATTCACAACTGTAATTGTTTTTACTGGTTTATTCTATTGAAAACCAAGAACTTGAAGAAGAATATAGTTTTTGTTTAAAGTATACATTATTGTTAAAGTTTGTAATTTTCTGAGTTTCTTCACAAAAAATACCTTTTGAATTCTTCCTGCCTATTAGTCATTTTCAGCCGCTTCTTTTAATTTCATAACTTCTTCAAGGGTCACCTTCTTAAATCTCGACACCATCTTGGCTCTGATCAAGATACAAGAGATGTTACCATGGCAATTTTGTAATTTCACATGTGAAATTAAAGATTAACGCTGAAATTTTGCACCAAAACTAAGGAGTAATTTGCCACCTATGATATTAACTCTTTAACTCCCTTGAGTGATCAGGAAAGAATTTCTCCTTACGATATCAATACAATATATAGCATACGGGTGATGAGATTCAAGAAAAATATCAATAAGGGGATTATTAGTTGATCGAGTACCAAATTCTCAGAACTAACATCATCGTAGTAAGGAGAATAACTAATGAGATCTTGGGAGTGTTGTTGCTGAAAACATTAATATCTCTAATTTGACTACATGGATATTTTGCTTATTTTTTATAAACAGACAAGATTGCAAAAGTTGCAGATGTGTTTGATTGCCATGTTTGTGAAGTAGGAGCTGGTCCAGGATCACTTACAAGGTCCTTGCTGCATGCAGGAGCCAAACATGTTGCTGCTGTGGAAATTGACAGAAGATTTCTTCCCTCGTTAGAGGTAAAGTATGCTAATTGACTTGTTTCTAGTCATCTTAAATGTAGCTGACATGGCAGAGGAAAGTGGAGAACCTTAAGGTTTGATTTCATCTTCATTCCCAGCATGATGTACCTCAAATGATTTACCTTGTTCTTCTAGATTGCAATAGGTTTTAATGGTTGCTATTGGTTGTGCAAATGCTTATAAAAGTGTTTTTAATTATGCCATGAGCCTAGTCACAATAGTCTTTCATCCTTGTACAAGAGTCATGTAGCCACAAGAAATAATCTTATTAGACATTTTGTTGTGTAGTACTGCTGAGTATTTTCACAAGTTGTGCCGTGTTTGGACAAGCCGATAAGGCGAGTCAAAATACAAATAAGGAGTAAAAATACTCGGTGATACTACACAACAAAATGTCTAATAAGTTATTTATTATCCAACACGCCAAACTGTTAATTCTGTGTGGGTGAATTTCGCAGATCTTTATTTGTGGGGAGTGTGTGACAGAAGTNATCTGGTTCAATGGCCGAAATCGACAATTATAGGCCTATTTCAATACTTCCTTCAATGTCAAAGATCCTGGAGAAAGTGGTATTTAAGCAGCTGATGGCTCATTTTGAACAGAATGGTCTACTTTCTCATTTTCAGTACGGCTTCCGTCGCATGCGCTCTACTGAACTGGCCGTTACTCATCTAACCGATGTTATCAGAAGAGAAGGTGAGAATGGTAACCTGACAGGCTGTGTTTTCATCGATCTATCAAAGGCGTTTGACACCATCAGTCACTCTGGCCTCCTGAGCAAGCTTTCAACTTACGGAGTTCGTGGAACAGAACTCGCATGGTTCACTGATTACCTTTTCTGCAGATCACAAGTTGTCCAATATAAAGGCGTGCTATCAGAACCTCAACCCATTCTCACAGGTGTTCCTCAGGGAAGTATCCTGGGTCCTATCTTATTCATTATCTTTTTCAACGATGTACATAAACCGCTTCAACACTCGAAGATTATCACTTATGCCGACGATTCAGTCATCTATACCTCTTCTAAAGATATTGATACTATACAGAGAAGCCTTAGCGAGGATATGAATAACCTGTGCGAGTGGTTTAAAGACAACGAACTGATCATTAACCTAAAAAAGGACAAGACGGAGTCTATGTTATTTGGAACAGCTAAAAGAATCAACCTTCAAGACAAGGAACTTAAACTTTCTGTTAATGGGACACTCATCAATAACACCTCTACCTATAAGTACTTAGGTGTTCACCTTGACTCATCACTAAACCTTGCATCACATTTTGACCGAATCTATAAAAAAGCTGCAACCAGAATTAATCTCTTGCGATCAATTCGTCCTTTGATCGACCAAAAGTGTGCAGAATCGATCTATAACACTATGATCGCACCTATTTTTACCTATTGCGGAACACTTGGTCTTAGCTTTCCGGATTACCGAAAGGAAATGATAAAGAACATCGAACGACGAGGCTTTAAAGTTATTGGCAATAGTTCTTTTAATCCCCCATCCGTGAACAATTTGATCAAGCGTAAAAGCTGTTTGTTTGTTTTCGACTGTCTCCTGAATAATGTTTGCACACCCTTTAAGAACTACTTCGAAAGACTGGTTCATTCTAAGGCCACTAGGAATAACGGTATATCAGTGAAATTACCCAAAGTACGTTTAGAATTTGGTAAAAAGAGCTTCTATTACCAAGGAGCAAAGACTTTCAACAACCTGCCTGCTGAACTAAGGTCGTTAGATTCGAGACTGAAATTTAAGAACAAATTGCGAGATTATTTTAGTTAAAAATTCGATCTAAACGTGGTTATAGGTATCCTTTTTCAGAGCATTTTATTTTATTGTATGCTTTTCTAGACCTTAAGATCAATGATTATATCTTGTTAAGTTTTATTTTATTTATTTATTTATTATTTTGACAGGACCCCAAGGACAACAGTGTTACACACTGATGGGTTTTCAATCCTGTATAAAAATTCGTTATTATTATTATTATTATTATTATTCTAATGGTCAATATTGATTGAACTGAAATTAAAGCCTAATACAGATACATGTATGTATGTCATATAGGTAATGTGATTCAAATCTTTTAAATGGTTTAAAATTTTCAAATCAGTTTATCTTTGATTTTGTGCATGTGTGTAGAAAATAGATAACATAAGGAAAACCTCTGCACCACAACAATACTGTGTAAGGACATGAATGCCAGAAATCATGTTCAGTTGGTATTTTTTCGTCATTACACTATATCAAATTGAATTTAGTGTTTGTTAACTTATCTGGTGTCTTATTGACTGACTGCTGTACCTTAATTAGATGCTTGAAAGTGCCAGCAGAGGAAGACTGTCGATACATCATGCAGACATCATGAAGTTCTACATACCAGATGCTTTACCAAAAGCTGATACTGTGCATTGGAACTCAGGTGTTTTGTTAGAGTTGATTTTAATGTATATAATTGCAAGAATGCTTTGGTTTGCTTAATATGATAATCTTGATGGGGGTGGTCGGGTAAAAAAAATTGTAGTTGGTGACTGAAGCTGACACTTTGAAGATCCAATATCCTCTTGACTCTGATGATTTTGGTTCAGGTTCACAAAACCTCAGTTAGTGACATTGGCAACAACAGACAAATAGCATACAGTTTTAGGCTGGAAGGCCTGACAATATGGCATATATTTAAGTTCCCAAGAAAAAGGGTGCTTTTAAAATTTTAACGCATAACACACAAAGAAACAAATATAACTTCTGTTGGATAGATAGAGTTAATGCTATTCACTAAACATCAGTATTCATATTCTCCATACTGTTCTCTATACATTTCCTAAGGTGCTTACAAGGAGGATTTTTTTTGACTGTCGAGAGCTTCTTTAGTTGGTGATCATTTTCTTTATTCTCATGACCTTTATGGGTGATTCAGGGGTGATATTGTAAGGAGAAATTAGATATTAGTCACTGTTAGGGATCAAAGGGTTTAGTAAACAACCTAAGGAAACAAAATCTGACAGAGAAAGATTTGAAACCCAGGGTAAAAGTGTTGCTAAGTTTTTTGTTTTGCTTGTTATTGTTCATTTTTAGATGTTCCAGGTGTTCGTATGGTGGGTAATCTTCCATTCAATGTATCCATTCCTCTTCTTCTGCAATGGCTTGAAGCAATTCCGCAGAGAGCTGGGCCATTCACATTTGGTAGGACACCAATGGCACTTGTGTTCCAGAAAGAAGTGGCAGAGGTAGGCATGTTGCAGTATGCCGTCAAAAATTGATGAATTGAAGATAACATGTGATAGTGTAATCTGATTGTCTAGGTGATTGTAGTCCTGAAAAGGACTGTTGTTGGTATTAGTGACTAATAGTCTTGGGGTTCAAACCATTTACTCTATGAATGTAACATATCAATGCTAGAATGTGTTTTGCAAAGAAAATGATAAATGTTGTTTCTTCTCTCACTGGTAACTGTTGAATGTGACCATGATGTTGTCTTGGGAATTTTAAATGTAATTGTTAGCTGTTTGACTGACATGGGAATTTTTTTTATTGTGTTTTTGTGATCAGCGGAGGATAATCTGATAGTACTTGAACAAAGTGGCTGACCCGGTCACAGCTTTGTCTGGTTTCCTTAGCATGAGTGACTAAGAGTATCACTACTCCCCCATGGGTGGGATGTCAGTCCATCACAAGGTGACCACCAGCAATTTCACTCAGCTTCCTAAATAATTCACTAGTACCCAGTTATACTCCTGGTTATAGAGAGAGGCACTGAATGCAACTCATCACCAGGTCTCACAGAGCTTCTCAGGTAGCTTTCCTTCACAAGAACTCACATCTTGACCTCTCCACTTGGGCCCAGTTTTTCTAAGGCTGATTAGTGTTAACCCGGAGTTAAATTTTACCACATGGTTTCTATATTATTTTTGCTGTTCAAAGCCGTTTTGGGATAATTTTACCAATTCTTTTCAGAGCATTTAATCCTCAAGTTGTTGATAAATGGAATTAAACCAAATTTTATTTTAAAGCTTTGAGTTCAAAAATCAAATTTCACACCAACCTTGGGTTATCTTAAACCACCTTTGAACAACCCAGCCCTGGAGATAATCAACATTAATCACTTTAATTACCTCTGGCACTAACAATAAATCATTCAGTAGTTCCCTTTTCTATTTAGAATATCCAGGCTCCTCCTGGAGACAGGGAATGCACACGCCTTTCCATTATGACCCAGTATCTGTGTGAAGTCAACAAGAAGTACTTGATACCAAGCAAAATATTTGTACCAGAACCAAAGGTATATAGAATGTACATTACTGTCCAAAAGTTCCCAGATGCAATATTGCTGTTTGTTTTTATAAAGAAATCATGACATATAATGGCAGGTAATGATAACAGTATTGAAGTGGCAACACAGGAACAAGGAAAGTGTCGTACTTTTTTCTCCACGGGTTTAGAATCAGCACATGGACACTTACGTCATGTCTTTTCTTCAAGATAATTGCTCGTGTCTTTGAAAAGCTGTGGAGAAATACAGAACGCTTTGTAGCATGAAAAAGCTCTATTTGAGACCCACTCCGAGGAATAGACATCTCGCTCAAGTATATATATATTTTTTACGCTGGGAAGGCTATTAATCCCCAGAAGTGATAAACATGTAACTTCTCCCTATAAAATCCACACATTATCTGGCAAACAGGTAATGAGAATACTCAAACTCATCAAGTATAGGTTGTTATCTTGATCAAACACCGAATTCTCGTAACTAACTTACAAGGAAATATATAGCAGTTAGAGGGGAGAATTAACAATCAGATCGTGAGAGTAAAAGGGGTAATGATAAATTTTCCATCAAGGTTGTCATTTTGAAAGAGGATCTGTATTGTTCATATTTCCTTTTAGGTTGATGCCATGCTGTTACGTTTTGTACCAAGGGTCACTCCCCTTATTGAAGCTCCGTTCGTTGTAGTGGAGCAAGTAGTGAAAGCAATATTCTCAGAAAGACGGAAAACCATTAGAAATTCGCTACGGTAATATAGAGCGTAATCTTTTTTAAAATACTCATCTTGTAAATAATTTTATATGACACGTAACTGGACAGGAAACTCAGCGCCGTTCAAGAAGGAGAGGAATTAGCGAGCCAAACGTAGGGTACAGATTTTAAGAATGTATCAGTCCCGAATCAAATTGTTCAAAGATAGTGTAGAGCAAAAGCTGATGTTTCGAACGTTGGCCTTTCGTCTTCGTTCTAAAGACTTACTCCTCTGACGCTATACACAATACTCCTTTAACACGGTGCATTCCTCAACACATACATTTGTTGTATTCCCCAGGACACTGTTCCATACAAAGCCAGAATTATCGGAGGAGCTCTTCGCGAGGACCGGGGTTGATTCCACTCTTCGTCCCAACCAAGTTAACTTCAAGGATTATGGGAAGATTTGTCACTCATTTATAGAAATATCACGTGAACATGACATGCCAATCACGCCTCTTAGAATGCGCAAGCCTGTTGCCGTGGCAACGAAGAAAAACAACACAGATGTGGACGCTCGCACCAGTTATCAAATCACGCAGTAATATAGGCCTTATTTCAGCGGATAAGGAGAATTGCCATAATGTTGTGGCATGGCAGGATGGCCTGTCGATCTGTCATGTCACTCTAGCCACTCTAGTATCACGATCCGGCTCTTATTGTAGAAACACAAATGCTGTCAGTCTTAAGATAACAAATGTGTCACGTCCTATCTATGGCATAAAATTATGGGCTTTTCAGTTTCTCTGCCCACATAGTTATGCACTTTTCAGCGGACAATTCGTCGGAGTAAAAATTGCGCTGAATTCTCAATTCCACCCTACAAGAAATGGATAGTGTAGAGGGTAGAATTAGAGAAAGACAGTTTGGTGAAAATGTCGGTAATTATAAGGCTATATCGCAGGCGGTAGGTGATTTCAAAAACATTCAAGGTATTCTCAGCATAAAATAGCTCAAACTTGAAGATAAGATGGAGAGGGTGTAAGTACTTTTTAAATTCAAGTTAGTTTGGTACACCAAGAGCGCAAGGGTCGCAAATATGGTTTTTAGACCGTCGCCATAGCATTAGCTGGATTTCCCCGTCAGACTTGGATCTCTCGTCTATAACTAAATTAGCCAGGGAAATTGTTGCCCATGGCGGTTCAGCGCCTTTGAATTTAATCTATAAGTATTTGCAAACTTGCAGTTGTTTGTTGAAGGCACATCTCCACTGTACCTTCTTCTTTACAGCTGAAATACTATCATTAACGTTGTTATCAATATTTGGGAACGTTACAACTTTTGAAAAAAAAAGATTTAAAGAAAATAGATCATTTCACGCCAGTTTCAGAAGAAAAAACCTAAGAAGACAAAACCTCAAGAGATGAAAGATAAAGTTGTGTTCGAGAAAATTTCAGTGGAATGCTAAAATTAATGCCAAACTACATAGTGTAGTGTGCTTCAGCTCATGGCGAGGGAAGAAAAGATAAACGAGATTTTAATTAGCATATGAGGGTGTTTGAAGGGCTGGAGAGGTCCCAAGTAAGTTATGCATGAAGGGCTATTGAAGAACGAAGACAACATTTACATCCTGAGTTAAACCGTGGTACCTGCTCCTGGGCGTTATGCCAAAGTCAACAAATAAGAAAGCTGTTCAATTGGTGGAGCTTTTTTGAAATATCAAGACCCATCATTATTTTATGGATGTTTACCAATGAAAGCCACAAAAACTTCGCAAAACAGGTCTTCTTACTACAAATAGGAAACCCCAAACAAGAGAAACGGAAAAATGTTATCCACGTCGCCATGAAAAGGTGGCTACTGGTATTTCTCATTGTTGTAATTTCTGTTACACAATTTCAACTGGAGGTTGCCGATTCAGTAGGCAAAAGTAAATATTTTACTGCTTATCATCGAGTTTCTTCGTCTGTAAACCGTGACATTGCGTTCGGCGCTCTTTTGCCTCTCCACTCAAAAGATAAACATGGAAAGTGCGTAGTATCTCCAAAGCGCCAGGAAGGCTTTTTGTGGCTTCGCGCTCTGCAATACTCGGTGGAAGACGTAAACAGAAAGTGGGAGGCGCGGCGTTTTAATGCATCTTTGACGCTGAATGTGCGCGACACTTGTGATGATGAAGAAATAGCATTAGAACAAGCCCTCGACCTCGCAAATAGATACAAAAAGAGGGTAGATATTGACGACGGTAGCGACGATTTGAAGCCGGTTTTGGGCGTTATATCTTCCTCTCAGAACAAAGATGCTTCGACTCTCCTGGGACTGTTTAAGGTACCGCAAATTATCTTTGGTAAAGACAAAAATGCGCCTGACAACCCAGATCATATTTTGCAATCATTGTCCGTTGGATTTTACAAGGCTCGTGCACTTGCAGATCTCATCAAATATTTTACATGGAGTGCTGTGTCTGTCATTTATTCAACTGACCATCAGGATGACTTTGAAATATTTTTGCGTATATCCAACATTGAAAAGCTTTGCGTTGCGGTGAAGGTTTTGCTTAGTGGCGAAGGAACATACTCTGTGCGGTTTGAGCGCGCCATTGTGAAACTGTTGTCTGAGCCAGCTTCCACCGTTGTTATTCTATTTACAGACGACACAGAGACAAAAGAAATGCTACAAAGTAAGTATTTGGCCGAAGACTTACGTTATTGACTGAATATTATGAATTCTGAATCCTTTTTTGGCATCTTGGGAAGATTCCAACAGCCAAAATTAATTGCTGTTTAACGAGTACAGGGCAAATTTTCAGATCATTCCGATTCCCAACTCAGTCAGTAATAAATTTGAAAATAGCGAAGAGCTTGACTGGCATGATTCCGTAGAAAACTGTTCTGCCACTCTTAGCGGACGGCACATTCGATCATTCAAGCTCTAGTGACGTACAAAATCTTTTATCTGTTGCGGGGGTGTATCAGAGATATTTTAGTGATTAAGACAAAAACAAGTTTTGCAAAGTTTATGGTTGAGGAGGCCAAGGAAATCAAGGGAAATGTCGAAAAAAATAGAAAAAACAAAAAAAAAATGCTAAGATCGGTCGAGTTGACTGCTAGTCTTACAAGTACGCCAAACTCTGATTTTCGACAACTGATAACATCACTGAACAGGGCTAGTTCGTGGCAGTATATATCACCGACTGAAATAGAATACTGTCACTTATTTTGCGCTAAAAGCCTTTGCGAAGGCGCCTTATCTATAAGAAATGATTTGTTTTAACTTTGATCTTGTTTAACAGCTGTTAAAATTGTGAGACCTAACACACACTTCACGTGGATTGTAACCAATCAAAGAGCCATACACTGTTTTCAAGGTAGCTCACAAGATGACACTTTCGTCATCGTCCCCCGCTTTCCTTTCATAGACAGATTCAAGAACTACTTCGAAAACAAAGGTGATACAATCGAGTTTAAAGACATCATTGAAATGCCCGTCAATCAGAGCAGTTGCTCAAACATTGGAATGGTTGAATCACCGTCTAAACGAGGAAAGGAAAAAGTTCAAGCTTCTATGAATAGTATTTATTTGTTTGCACATGCGTACGAAAAGGCATCTCGCGCCATCATCGGCCACACCACGACGCAGCTCGACCGAGTAGTGTTCTCCAGGAGTCTGGGACACGTACTAGACGTATTTTACAGTCAAAACTGGAAGCGTTTCTCAGGTCAGCAGCATATGAAAGAAAATATGTTTTCTTTGATCTCTGTGAAGTCGAATGGATCTGTCAAAAGCCATGTTACTGTTGGTACCTGGAACAGTTCATGGTATATCAACGAGCTTGGAATCACGTGGCGGAATCAAACGGCGCCAAAATCCTCTTGTGGTACCCAGTGCCCTCCAGGTCACATTCGAGTCTTAAAGAATAATACTGAGTGTTGCTGGTCGTGTGCGATCTGCCACTACAATCAAATCGTGAAGGATGATTACACATGCACAGACTGCTTGAGGGGCTATTGGCCGAATGAGGATTTTAAGAAGTGCGAGTTTCAATGGCAGAGAACGTTGTTCTTCTGCACTTTAGCTGTTTCATTTGTGGCTGTCGTCTTCTTTTTCATGGTGCTTTAGCCCTTTGACTTCCAGAGGTGATTAACAATACACTAATTTGGTCATCATTCTCTTTAATATCAACGTCCTTTCTCCACGATTAGCTGATAGCAACCGTTTTGTTCCACGCGCTGCAAATAGATATTTGAAGGATCATAGATACGATAACCTTCATTTGGCTTGAACACAATCGCGTGTAGTAGGCCCTTGACATTACTGGTTCCTCAAAGCGTGCTAATTTCTTCGTGCTCCCCTCTAGGAAAAGTGTTTACTCCTCGAACGATCAGTACGGAAAAGTATGTTTTTATGCCAAATGAAGGATGTCATTTAGAACCCCAACGTCTCTCTATAAAATCGCGTACAATAAATGCATAGCAGCCAGAGTGGAAAAGTGTGAATCAGACCTTAGGAGTCAAAGCATTCACTAGTTTTCAAGTTGGAAATGTTAAAATTCTTTGAATAATTGAAGGCATAAACAATCACAATTTGATTTTATTTTTTTGCAATTTTCTTTTACATTGGGTGGTTACGGGATGATTTTTTCCCAAGGCACTTAAAGGTGAAGGTATAGCCTAGCCACTTAAAGATGAAGTTATATTTTAAGGTTTAAAAAGTCGCTTCAGTCTGAAAAGTAGACAAGTCACGTGTTAGAACTCTTTTAAAGTTGTGTGAGGTTAAGGTGGATTGATTTTGAGTCAATGTCAAAGAGATTTAATGGAATTGTTTATCTTAGTTTCAATAAAATGAGTGTCTGGCCAGATCGCGGATGAGCGTTCACGATGTTAATCAAATGTTTATGAGCAATTCCATATTCTATCTAAGCATACTGTCCTGCCCGGATCGAGTAACAGGTTCACCAGTGGCGCACACGCAAAAGAGAAAACTTCAGGCGAGGAAGCAAATCGATCACACGAACGTACATTTCAGATGCCGAGAAGAATTAAAAAACCGTGCAAAGCAAAACCGCAAGTCTATCAACAGCAAGCTCTGTTTGGGAGTATATCTATATCAGCCTTCAAAGACGTGTCTGGACTTGTTTTGTTTGCAATTGTGGTAAAAGACTGTCTTTCAAAGATCATTGAGATGTACCAGAGAACAAAAACCCATTGTTAGTTAAAAGGGTAGAAAGCAACATTTTAAAACCAGGTGGGATTAGTACTCTACAAGTGCCAAAAGAATTAAATCGCAAAGCGTCATCCTATGTGAACCACTAGATATGTAGTTAAGAATAAAAACACGCAAAGTCAACCAGGCAAAGTGAAAGGAATAAAAATGGAGCACGCATTTGTTTCATTATACATAACATCCAAAGTGACACCTGCAAGCAGGCTTTCCTTTATACTACCGTATAAATTCTGGCATTTAAACTTCTTGTCTCCCAACTCCAGAAACTTATGTGCGACCGAATCAGGGTTTCTTACACACATACAACACTCTAATTTGTCCTTAAATTGCTGTTGATTTTACTTTAATGGGAATTTTTGGACTCATTATAACAAAAGGTGCTACTAACAGGTACCTGTTTAAATCCTTCTTCATATCAAACTGCGTGCCGGACAAGTGTAGTTACAAATATTAGCGTTACGCGATCAAATGTTTGTTTATCCTCAATATCATAGACTCGCATGTTTCCGAAAGTTCAACTGTAGTGTTTGGGTTGCTTAGTCAGTTGGAACTCACTCTTAATGAGTTAAATTCACATCTGCATTCCGGCACAGTGAGAAAAACCTAACCATAAACATGTGATTAGTTACCGATTTTTACAAAACAATAGAACGCGACCTGCATTCCCGTTCAAGCTACAGTAGTTCATTTCAAAACACTTTGATTGATTGAAAATTTTACAGTTCCTTCATCGCTCTGTCCTTCCAGCTAAACTTGTTTTTCGGTGGAGACGGGGGCATTTCGTTTTTCAAAATCCTAGACGCTTCACTTTGCAGAAACTCGAGGCTTGCTCCCTTTCCTCTTCTTCTCCGTATTTTGCAATTTCGTCAGGACTTTTCTCTCGTGGCCTGCCGGGTTCGATCTGTTCGTATTCAAACTGGCCTCCTTCTTTGATCGTCCTTTCCGGGAGTGGCTCATATTTGTCGCCACAGGATCAAAATTATAGTAATCATATTCGTCCAGGTAACACTCGATGTAGTTCACGATGCGGCGGCGTTGACCAACTCCTTTCATTTCTGCAGCAGTCTCCGTCGTTTGTAGAGATCCTTCAATCGAGATTGTCAGCTCCCTTCACTCTGTTGTTCAAAGTGTTGTTGTGATGAAATTATCGCCTTCCAGTTATATAAATACACGCTTTAGTGCGTAAAACGCCCTATTGTTATGTGACACACGGCACACCCTCGATCCAAAAGCCTTCCTTTGATTGGTTGAGGAACTAGAAACGTGATGTTTTGTGTAACTTGCGCTGTGATGAAACTATCAAAAATAGCTTTCTCAACAAAAAAGCGGAATTGCATCATGACATTCTGCGCGGTCACTGGAGGAAAACTTCCCAAGATTCAGGGCGATTAGCACGATATGCAATACTGAAAACGACTTGAAAAGTCGTTACCCGCCAAAGCTCGCGTATGGCATAGCACCCTTATTTAAACTCATAAAGAAATAATTTGGATATATCAACAAAGTTGAAATGGTAAATTGGCCACCGTAATGATTACAAAAGCTGACGTTTCGAGCGTTAGCCCTTCGTCGGAGCGAATAGAGGAATTGTGGGTTGTGTGGGCTTTTAAAGGCAGAAAATGGAGCTACGTTATTGGTGGGTGCATGGCAACGAGAAAAACATGAATAAATTAGTGGAATGAAAAGCGTTCATTGATCCCTGTGGGATTTAGACTGCCGGTTTGAAAGATGAGCTTTTGTTCAAGATTTTTACGGCTTTCCGTGCCACCTAAGTGCAAGGAAAGACCGCAGATTGCCATATGTTGCTTAGAATGATTAGGTAAATTAAAATGTCTAGCGACTGGTTTCGATGTGTCCTTGTCATTCCTTTCCACGTCTCGAAGGTGTTCTCGGAATCGGTCACCTAGTCTTCTGCCTGTTTCGCCGATGTATATCTTTTTGCAATAAGTGCAAGTTATGCAATAGATTACATTGGCGGAGGTGCACGTGAAGTGATCGGTGATCTTAATGGATCGTTTAGGTCCCGATATTTTATCAGTGTTGTGAATGAAAGGACACGTTTTGCATCGTGCACGAGCGCATTTAAAAGTGCCTGGTTGGTCATTAGTCTGAAAAGAACTTCTGACCAAAAAATTGCCTATGTTTTTGTCGCGTTTGAATGAAATGAGCGGAGGCTGCGAAAAGATAGTGCTTGTCTCTGGATCGTTTTGAAGTAATTTAAAGTTTTTAAGAATGATGGATTTAACTGAGTGGTTGTGAGGGTGAAACGTGAGAGTGAATGGAATGCGGTCGGAATCTTCCTTATGCGACGTTTGTAGTGCTGAATGTCGATCAATAAGTTG